TTCTTTAATTTTGCAGGGTAAAACTAAAACTATAAATTTACCATTCACGTGAAAATGGAATTCTAAATGGTCAACATTTTCTATCAATCCCTATGGTTTTGAAACATTCAATATTTAAGCCCAACAGTCTACTTAAAATGTGAAAAATTAAATCCTTGTACCTTTTAAATTTTACAATTTAGTCTAATATTGGTGCCATCAATCCTCAAAGGTTACCATCAACATATTCATACTCATACAAACTTACTAGTTTTGTAAAAAATCAATATAAACTCGGTAAATAACTTAATAATAAGTAAAATTTGGAGTCTAATATTAATTATATTAACGGTTGGAAATTGGAATAGGTTTTTAAATACAAATATATATTTTATTAACTTATTAAGTAAAAGAGTTATCTACATTTTTTTAATCATTTTAAATTAAATTTCGTAAATTTTTATATAAATATATGGGATAGGATCCACTTAGACCATATAAAACTAATAAATTTTACATTAGTTTACAAACATTAGATTTAAATAAATAAATAGTTCAGATTTAATTAAAATTTATATCCTTACAAAATCCTTCCTCAATTTAGAGTAAAATAATATAATTTTCCTTCTTTTAGCGTAAAATCATCTTTCCCATGGTTCCTTTTTTTCTTCTTCTTTCAACCCAGAAACTTATATTCATTCAATTGATTCTTCTTCTTCTTTTTCAATCGAAAGTACAAACATATTTGAAGATTTTGTTTTTCATTTTAGAAATAAAGATGATGTTTTCCCAATACGATAGAGGACTCCTCGATGCTTGAAGCTTCTGAATAATAAAATCAAACATCTACAGAAAAATAAATATAGACGAGAGATTTCTTCTGTATACTGATTATTAATCTGTTTGTTGTAAATATTGATTTTAATTAAATCTAAATCATTTATTTATTTAAATTTAATGCTTGTAAATTAGTGCAAAACTTATTAGTTTTACATAATGTAAGTGTATATATATATATATATATATATATATATATATATATATATGATTTAATTGTGCGAAATAATTAATAAATTTTTTTACAGTACGATGATTTGGCTGAACTTGAATGGCTTTCAAATTTCGTTGATGATTCGTTCTCGACGGATCCCATTTTTGCAAAATTACCCACACCTGAATCCTCTTCTTCTTCAACCCGATCCGATTCCTTATCTCGAAGTTCCATTGATCCGATTTTCCAACATGGGGATCCACTTCCAGGGAAAAGACGAGGGAGAGTACAAAACCTAGTTCGGAGTCATCATGGGGTCGGAAATGTTTACATTGTGCTTCGGATAAGACCCCACAATGGAGGACTGGGCCGATGGGTACAAAAACGCTATGTAACGCGTGTGGGGTGAGGTACAAATCGGGTCGGTTGGTACCCGAATACCGACCCGCTTCGAGTCCGACGTTCGTGTCAACAAAGCATTCGAATTCACATAGGAAAGTTTTGGAGATTAGGAGGCAAAAGGAAATGGAAAGATCACAACATCAACACTTTCTCGGTCAAATTTCGGTGTTCGACATATCCAACGGTGGTGATGCTGTTGATGGTTTTTTGATCCACCATCATGGAGGGCCACGATTTAGTTAAAATTTCAAATAAAATAGAGATTAAACTAAATCTTCAAAAAGAATTGTAGTTTCATTTGAGCACATATAATATTTAATATAAACTATTTAGCTTTTATTTAAATACGTACTTATGTTAAAATGTTTATCATTAATAAAAATAATATTAATCTTCAAATTTTAATCATTTTTATTAATTTTTTGGGTTAAAAAAATCATAAAAAATAATAATTATAATAAAAATTATCACTAATATGAATCTATGATAGTAACGAAGTTGTTCGTAACAACAAGCGACCAATTAAAAATAGTTTTTAAATTTTTATGATTAAACTTAATACCAAATATTTTAAAACATTTTCATAATTTTTCATAATATCAAATGTTAAATAATATTTATATGGAAACTCGATGAATTTTTTATTATTTGTGAAGCTAAAAATCATCATAGTCATATCAAATAATTATTTTATAATCAATATTATTTTTTAAAATAATGAAAACTAGATTTTATTAATAAAAATAATAGAAGAAATCAAAATTACGACACACCCAAACATAAAAAGAAAAATGAAGAAAGTAGTAAAAAAAACTTATACAAAATAAAAATATTAAACGCAAATATATAAAGAAAAACGAAACATTCCTTTGAGAATGACATCAAACATTAAAAGCATCCAGTTACTTTAATAAAAACTCATTGTCTCTGTTAAATGAGACGTTTTACGAAGTGATAAAGGAATGGTGAGCGAACCAAACTATCTGACATATTGTTTTGCTATACAATTCTGATTATATTGACAAATAACATTTTATCAAATTAGAAAACTAATGTCGTGAGGATATTTGTGCGAGCACCGAAACGAACGCAAAGGTATGCGGAAAACGTACCAAAAACCATAAGGAACGTGTCAAGAGGGAGAGAAAATCTGTCACAAGGACATATATTCTTATTCAAATTTAAAAAAAAAATCAAGAGAAAAGAAAAATAAATTACATAGTATGAAAAAAAATGAACTAATAATCGTTGGCGGTTGGCAACCGACATTAACTTTGACTATTTTTAATCGTGCCCATAAATAAACCTATTCATAAATATCTTAATCTAAATTTGATTTGATGATAAAATCATTTTAATATATAATTTAATTACAAAACAATATAGATATCAAAATAATTATTTTAATATTTTATTAATATAAAAATAATGAAATGGGTCATTAGGTGGAGCTAGGTTGAGTTATTATTTTCATATTTCAATATCATATTTAAAAAATTTAAAAGTTTAAGGTTTAATATACGTATGTTTTTAAATTAATAAATTGTGCTAACATAATATTTTAACAACAAATCAAATTGTAATATATACTATTTAGTAATATTAACATTTTAATCTATCAATTCTATATTAATAATCTGATTGATTGTTAAAATATTAAATTAGTACATGAATTGATTTTTTTTTTTAAATTTAAAGCTAAGTTGAGAAATGTAACTATTTATATATATTACCTAAAAAGTGTATAGTAATAAATATAGCGAATGGGTGGAATCAATATTTGATGGAGCCAATGGGTTTACTAAAGAAAGGATGTTTTGTCCATGCCTAAAATGCATATTAGCACATGATAGGGGAAATGGATGCTTAATATTCAAGAAATAGATATAAGAAAAGAAAAAAAGCAAAAATAAATTGTGATAAGCACAGCCACATAAATTCCTTTTTATTAAAAAAATTAGTGAAATAATTAAATAATAATTTAAGTAAAATCAAAAAAAATTTTAAAAAAAAGAGTTTTAATAAAAAAATATATAAAAAATATAATAATTTTAAATTTTCAAAAGAATGTTTGTTCTCACCTGTCTCCCCTGGGTCTATCCTTATATATATATTCAGAATGACTTTGCTGTCCTTTGTCTAGGGATCTTTCCATGTTATTTTTTTTAATTAGATGATATACTTTTTGTGCACGGATCTATATAGATAAATCATGAAAAGACTTTTCTTTCACCAAATACAGTTATTAGGGGTAATAAAATTTAAATTATTAGAAACGATGACACAGATTGAAATGGAGTTCTCAATTAAATAGATTCTATCGGATTTCATATTGCATAAAGATTTACATATTTTTATTTTTAATAAATTTTAATTTCTATTATAATTATATTAAAATAAAATTTATATTTTAAAAAATAATATATACTCAAATAAAGATTCAACCTTTTAGAGATTAATCCTATAAAAGATTAACATTGATGTACAAAGATTTAACCTTTTAAGGAAAATCAGCTACTAGTGCAAGAAATAGTGATAGAAAAGAAGTGTAAAAATCATAATTTCATCGATGTACCAAGCAAGCCTTCCAAACTCATGGATTTGGAAACACTGTTTTTGATCTATAATCATAAAATCATGCGTTCGTCGAACCGACTATGATACAAATATACAATATGGAAGTGAAGCTAAAATGGGAAAAGTAAGAGCTTTGATGTTCACCCAAATATCCTAGATTCTTTACTATCTTTTTACTCAGTAAATAATTATTTTAATCTGAAAATATATGTCCCAACATAAAATTCTTTGGAAACAAAATTTTACACTCAAGATCAAGAGAAAAGGAGAGGAATGTCAGGCGTTTTCGAGGAGTTACTAGGAGCATAGGTGATATAATTGATTGTATTAAAGATGTTGTTAGGATCAAAGTGCATAGAAAAGTAGTCAGAAATGATCCTGTTAATTTGATTCTTTGTGCAGCTTGGGGAGTGTAGTTGAGCCTGTTCTTTGGTTGTTTGAGGTAGCAGGTTCTGCTATGTTTGTAGTTCTGTAGAAGCAAGTTATGCTGTTTTTGGGTAATATTTATCCAAAAACAAAAAAAAAGGAGAGGAGAGGAGAGGTAAAATATTCTAAAAGTAAGAGCTAAAAAATAACAAATTTGATTATGAATAATCTTAATTAAATAAATAATTAACTCGTTTTAGTTGGTTCATGTAACCATGATGAACAAATGATATTTAGCAAATCCGTAATTCAAATTCCAACATCTGCTATCCAGCGGAAAATCTAGAATTCGAATTCCAGCATTTTCTATCCTTTACCCTATCCCTGAAGGCCTCCTCCTCTATACAATATTTTTCTCTTTTCCAAATAAAAATAGAAAAAACCTTAAAGAGTCGAGGTGTGCCGATGGTGTACATTGTTTCTCTGTCCAAAAAGCTTGAAAAACTAAAACAGTTCACTGCACAAGATTTTCCCAACAAAACACAAACAAAGCCTATATGAGATTTATAGCCTATTTTTTTTTAATTTAAGGATATCCCCCTTCACTATATATGCAAAACAACGGTATCGTTATTTAAGCGCCGGAATATTCTATAATATGAGATGTAGGGTGCAAACACTATACCTTAAACCGTCCTTTTTGGATCATGAGCAGCTGCAAGATGGTCCTGTGAAACCGAAACCAGATACAAGATCAACCGAGGTGTCATGAAACATAAAATGACATGTACCGTGAATCACAAGACAAACAAAAGATAGGATTAACAGGAAGCAAAAGGCTCAAACATTTGATTCTCCCTCATTCCAACTTAGGATCTCATAAATTTTGGACACATCATGGAACACTGACTTCAAGAGTATAAACTTCTCACTGTGATGTGGAAATTCATGTAAGACTACCTTAAATAGCATATGCTAGAACTTAAACTTACCGAAATAAAATCAAATGCTCTGGTCTCCTCTTTCATTGAGCCGTTTATCATTGAACTAGGCATTTGAGTTGTAAAATTCGATTGGAATATATCAGGAAGAGGTGATCCTCCATTAGATCCACTGGAAACATTATTGATGCCAGCGTTTTTTGCATTATAATTACCGAAGTGTTGTAAGTTAGACATTGTTGCAACTAATTGCTGCTGAGCAAAGAAACTCCCCATAGCACCATAATTCATAGGTTGAGAAGAAAAGGCGGGGTTCATCATTATTCCAGGCTGAACTGTATAAGGCATGGTCCCTAAAGGAAACATCATATTTGCATTCATCCCAGAGGCTCGAGAACCATGGATACCACTCAAAGCATCATTAGAAGCTTGACTGCTAGAATGATTGTTGATATTGGAAAATAGATTTTCAGGGTGTGCCTCAGAAGAGATTTCTTTCTGCTTCAAATTAGATGAATTCTCATTCACCGACAAGTCAGCCATTACACCACCATCATTATTTTGATTCTCTGGCAGAGCTTTAGAAGTGATTCCAAAGATATCAATTACTTCAGAATTTTTATTTGCAGCCATATAATTATCTTCGATAACTGATTTTTCATTTATAGTTATCCCAGAGAAGAGATCATCCGCATTTTCTCTACCCTCATCAGTGTGAAATGATACATCTGCAAAGGAATCGTCATCAATTTCCTGTTCCATGGTGCTGAGACCAGCATCCAGGCCAACTCCAAATAAGTCATCAAAAAGTGGCTTTGCTGTTGGATTAGCATTCTTTTGATCATGTTGGTTTTTTGTGGAGTTACCTAGTCCATTGTAATCATCCTGATCACCAGTGTCTATCAGGTCAGGCATTTGAACTGGTGTCATCTCTGCCTTCAAAGACTTTTCTGAATGAATTGCCAAACCACCGCTCTGTTCCCTATTCAAAAGGTTCAACACCTGTTTACCAAGACCATATATAAATTAATCGTTCAACTGTAGTATGTACTTCATTAACTCGGAAAAAGTATCCCTATCGTCTCTAAATTAGCATCTAGTGTACATAATAAATACTCAAAGTCACCGTATAATATTAAGGACCATAGCATCAAAAGAAATAAAGATAGAACACAATGATCATACAAAGATCACTAATATAGTAGTGTTTATGCAGAAGAGGAATCAAAACGAAGGAACTGAAACATAATGTGATAGCTGTCAAGTCGAGAACCAACCGCTAGTATGTCTGAATTTATAAATTTGAACAAAAAATAAAGAGAAAGTTGTCAACAATAATAATAAAAATCTGAAGGGCATATTTCCGTTTCTAGAACGATGTTCCAAAAAAAAATGAGGTAGCATCCAAAACTTGATGCAGTAAGACAGCAAATATTACCTTGATAAATATATATTATTTTGGAAGAAGAAATTAATACCCTACATTAACTTAGACATGGATAAATATGCCATCTGTTAAATGCAAGACCTTAATGAAGTTAAAAAAGAGGGATCATAAAACAAAAATATAAATTTTAAAAGAAAATTTCCCATGAAAACCTAAATGCGAGACCTTAATGAACTCAAGCATGAATTAGATGAACTTTCCTTTATTCCACTGACATCAGGTTACTGAATTAAGCTTAATATATATGTCTTGTAAAACGGGGGTGCGGGGGGGGGGGGGGGGAAGCATGCACCAAAAACGGTGCTCCATACCAGATCTTATAATGTAACAAAGACGGTACATTATCTTGCTCTTTAAATGTAAAGCGAAGGGTAGCACATTTACCTTGTTAGCCTTTTCTCTTAAAGAAGTCTGGGGAGACTCAGAACATCTTGAAACAACATCTATGTTCTCAGTAAAATAAGAAGCCACAACTAGAAAATGATCATCTTCCTTTTTCCTCAAAATGGACTCAAGCACGCACATAGCTTTCAATTGAACCTGGTCATCAGTAATTCCGATTAAGGTTAAAAGATAACCAAAAACACAAACACTCCACTATACTTTTTCTTTTGGAAAAAAATAAATATAAAATTATCAGCAATATGCAACATGATCATGTAATCAGAAGAGTGTGGTGTGCGCAAGAATAGATGTGTGGGTAGATAGCCTAGGTTTGAACCTATCACCCTCGGTGGGATTGTCATCTCATGATCAGTACATAGGAGCAAAGAGTTACCTGCCATATTAGCGATTGAAGCTTAGATTCAAGCGCATGACTTAAAGCCGATGCATCAAGCTTCGCAGCTTCCAGAAAGAAAGCTTGAATGGCATCTCGAGTAGGCTGTAGGCGAACACCACCAGATGTCACTATGGTTTCCAACAATCTCTCTACACGAGTTTTAGTCTCTGAATAATTTGAGCTCGATTCCCCATTTTTTGTTTCTGCCTTGAATTCTCTTACATCCTGCCCCCAAGGCCCACTAGCAGTATTCTTGGAAACCCCTTGAGTATCATTGGGCAATACAACTGGTTCATACCTATCAGAATTGTCAATTTCTGTAGTCAAGGACCTTCGAAGCGTAGGACCCTTGTAATTTCTGTTATCATTCTTTCTCAACGAATGACTCTGAGTTAAATTACTAATTCCCTGCTTGAAAGTTGCACATCCAATACCAACAATCTCACTGAGAAATGATTTCTTATCATCTGATGGCAATTCGAAGTTTGTGTTCCCAAATCCTTGAATTCGTTTGTTAAGGTCATCTGAAGGCGAAGGCTTACTGATATTATTTTCCTCGGCAAATACAGCAGAAATAACCTCATGAGCAGTGTCCCGTACAGCTTTATTGAGTGCATCCCCCTTCAAAGGATCCGGTTCCCCTTTGTAATGAAATAACTGACGAATGGCCACTGAGTTCCTCTGCATCTCTCTCCTAAACTCCGCACCACACTTTCCCACGACATATTTTATCAGCCTCAAAGTCTGCATGTCAACATTTTGTATAATTTACCGTCTACTGATACAACTCGCCCGCACGTAAACATGCAGTAACTCAGAACATTTACATAGCAATATATATATATATATTATATATATATATATATATATATATAATATATATATATATATATATATATTGATATTTTAATCACGTAGAACTTCGGTAAAATTATACGATCACTGGTGAACTACTTGACGATATTGAGCTAATTTGTTCACTTTTACTTATTTTTCCAGTATCAGCCAAAATAATTATATATACACACACATATATTTTGATTTACTAGATTTAAGCAAAACAAAACAAATTTCGAAGCGAATTGAATGCATTACCTTTTGCTTGACGATGGGGCTTTTATGATCGAGTCGTTTCAAGACAAACTCGGAGACCTCTTTCACGATACTAACATGCGACGATCTCAAGAGCTCGCTGATCTCATCTAACTTATAAACGGGAGTTACTTTGTCTTCATCCGAGGTTGCCGCTTCGATCATCCGTGATCTCCTATACGATTCCACCGCTCGCTTGCTGGAATCCATTTCGAACAATTGATATGGAAAAAAATTACAAATTAAATTTAATCCGATTGAATTTGAAGAGTTCAAGATTGATCTGTTCGCTTTGATTGAAAACAAATGGCAATTCACAATTGTTGATGAATTCCGATCGATTTTGGGATTTTAATAGCGGGATTTCGAGTACGATCCAATTAGGGTTTCGTCGTTTTTCTTACTTTGATTTCTTAGCTTTTAAGAAATTAGCAAAAGAGGTGAAAATCATAATCTGAAAACTTGGAAACGTAAAACAGAGAGAAACAGAGATAGCAAAGAGCTAATAGACATTTTCTTAACCGACTCGAAATTGTTATCTTAACGATTAAAAAACTATTTTTGTTAGTTTAATTTCAGAAAACATACCCAGACTATAAAAATATTCTATATTGGTCCTTGAATTACAAAACTTTCTGATTAAGTTTTTAAATAAGGTACTTTCATCGGTTCTTTCTTCCATTAATATTTTAATCAAATAATTTTAATTTCGGAAAACATCCCCAAACTATTAATATTTATTTTAATCTTTTTAATAGATTATGTTAGAATCTTAAAATCAAATAATTTAAATCACACTAAAAGTAGGCCAAATATAGGGCACCCAAACTTTTAATTTGGGATATACGGTAATTGAAACTGTCCCCACGAAACTCGTCACACCGGATATAATTTTTTAATGGGCCGTGTCAAGTGGGTCTCATAGCCGGAATAAAATTAATATAATAAAAAATATTTTTTTCGAAATTTTAAAAAAAAAAATTGGAAAAAAATATTTTAATGCCCATGGAACTCGTCACGTCGGTGTGACGAGTTCTAACGACTATTTTCAATTTGAAAAAACTAGTCGTTGGGTAGAGTAGTATAAATAGAGGTTTGGGTTGGATTGATTTTTCGCTTGTAATCAAACATTTTATTGAGAGCAAAAACTTTTGTGTTGAAGAATTTGTGTTGAAATGACCTCAAGAGAAGAAATGTTACGTCTTGATGATCGACTTAACAACGGTAAGTTTAATTTGTTTTATTTCATTTTGTTTTAACAAAATTATTGTATTACTAATAATTATTTATGTAATTGTATTAAATAATTTATTTTCAAATTGTAGCGAGAAGAACGAACCATTCGTCATCAAGGAATGACAAATGAAGAACCATATGAGCGGATGGTGATATATATTTCGCAATCCGAATTATATGGAGCGACGTTTCTTTGTGGATTTAAGGTGATGTCGGCATTGATTGAGCGTTGGAGGCCCGAAACGCATACGTTTCATTTACCTTATAGTGAAGTGACGATAACTTTGGAAGATGTCACTTATCAACTTGATGTTCCGATTAATGGTATGTCATTGATGCTTCGCAACACTTATAAGGTAAATAATGTTATTTCAAATTTATTGGGAAAAATTTAGGATTGATTTGGCTAACGTTGTTTATGGGTTTCACAACACCAACTAAGTTATTCTTCAGATGAAGAGTGGGAAAAGGATCAATAAAGTACATAGTTAAGGATCATAAGAATAATAAAATGAAAATGAAAGAGGAGAATAAGAGGATGTATGAAGATTTACCAAAGCGGCGTAGCAAACGACTAATTGAGAGGGAAGAACAAATAAAAAGAAGTATAGAAATTGAGAAGAAAAAAATGAAGGAAGATCAAAATATTGAGAGATGTAAAAAAATTAAAAAATGACATATGTTCAAATATTCATTTGTATGGTTTTAGTTTATGTATGACGTTGTCTTTATTAATTAATTATTGTCTCATTACAATTCAAAATTTTATTTATCATTAAAATGGGATGTTATAGTTATCAAAATGATAACTAAGGGTTTATTTAAAAATTACAAAGGTTGTACCGATAATAATTGAATAACTAGGGGTTTTCCAAAGGTTACTCTTGATCCTTGAAAAAGAAAGAACAAATTTTACTAATAGTTTGGAACTAGGGGTTTTACAGTACATAATATTTTGTAACGCCTATTTTAGCGTCCAACTCAAAATTTTAGAAGATGTGGACAATGTTTTCTGTTATGACCTTCATCTCTGTAGTGGCCACAAAGTTTGGGTTGACCTGGCTCTATTTGAGGATCATCCATATTGGTATGAATTCGGATAGATTTAGGTCGACCTTGTAACTTCCTATGCAATTGAGGACTTGACAACAATTCCTCATAAATTGTGCATGTACGCCAGTATGTTTCATTCGGGAGGTATTTAAAGTCACAAATGTAAATATTGTGCATAATGTGCAAGCTATAACATTTATCAGCATATAAGTATGGGTCAACGTTGATGTGCATACATGCAACAACAACGTGAGCACATGGGAACCTAAAAGCTTGAAATCGACCACAATCACACTATATTCTATTCAGATTACCAGTGTATGTTGTAGAATTAACTCACTCATGTGGTTGAACTAGTTCTTGGACAACGGAATCATAATCAAATCTGGAAAAATTGTGGACAAACATTGATGTCGCATGTGTTTGATTTTTTTTTTTTTTTGCATTGCCTTCTCTAAATTTGGAGCCTAATTTCTTTCATCATTGATCATGGCATCAATTTGTGCATTTTTTTCTGCCCATACTTTACCCAACCTAAAGTAAGTCTCCCTAACAATATTTGCTATCCGGAGATGTCAAGTCCCTTTCAGCACTGAGTTGATATATTCAGCAAGGTTGGTAGTTATATGGTTGTAACGTCGACCCTCAGCATCATATGCTTGTGACCATCTCTCCCTTGGTATTTCAACTGCGAACTCATACACATCATCTCCGTATTTTCTCAAATTTTCAAGTCATGCACGGAAGTTTGGTTGGAGTAAAGCATACCCTAAAAAGCAGTAAATTAAATGTTATTGAAAAAAAACATTAATGAAGTAGAAATAATTAATGACAAATGCTAAGGTACTTACCCATGTTGATAATCTCCTTTTCGATCTTTTTTTGCTTAAACATATTCATTGCATTCGACGCGATATGACGTATACAATATGTAGGATATGCGTGCGGTGGCGTCTATATATTTTTGGGTCACCAATTGTGCTTAACAACCCAAGCGACCGATCTGAGATTATGCAAACCCTTTCTTGAGTGACAACATGGAAACATAAGTTTGAGAGAAAGAAATTCCAAGTGTGGAAAATATTTTTGTCTCCATCTTGTGCAACGACTATCATCAAGACGTGTCTGTAGAGCCCATACAGAAAAGTGTCATCAACTTGAATCATTTATTTGCAAAATCTAATCCCTTCAATAGATGACTTAAAAGCCCAGAACAAGCCACAAAAAATTCTCTTCCCGAGGATAACATCTCCCTCAAGCGTGACTGCAGGATGAGTATAATACCTAACAATGGTTCCAGGGATGAAAATTTTCATTTCTTGCAGCAGACATGGTAGCTCATTATATGACTGATCTCAATCATTATACAATAAGGTCATTGCTTTTCGTTTAGCCATCCATGCCTTGTAATAAGTCGAAATGTAACCAAATGTATTCTGAATAGATGTCACTGATACAGAAACGAGCACACTTAGATTTTTTTCCATCAACAACTTCACATAAGAACATATGGCGTCCGAATCTAAATGTTTGTGGTCTTGTGTCAAGGAGGTCATTGTACATGTGTGCTCTGCATTGAACCTTGTGACTTCCCACAACATATTCCGTTGTAGGTATGATACCCGTATCCTCCATTTACAACCAACATCATGGTGTATACACCTTACAAAATAAGTCTTTTGATCCGACTCCACGACATAGAATTGAAGATGAGCTTTGATGCATTACTCATTGATTTCTAGTTGTGCCTCTTTTTTTGTTTCAAACTGAGACTCAATAGCCAACTCAGATGATCACTCGTCTGAAGAATCCCAGTGGGCAGCAGCACATAACTCTGGCATATCAAATATTTCAGTATTCCGCATAGCATCGTAGTTAATGTCATGCATTGCAACTACATGATGATACCGAGGCAAATCATAGTGAGGCATTTCAAGTTGAGGGTCTGTCATTTCCCAAACATTTGGAGAATTCTGCAATCCTTGACATCGTGAAATAGATGCATCCCATACATCAGCCTCAACATCTAAACATTGTCCCTCTGAAGCAACCTTAAAAAATTGGACTCGTCAACTAATGGTGTGTCGTCATCGTCTACCAACAGAACAATATCTTCATCATCCTCGCTAAATTCAGCAAGGCTTTCACCGAACCGTCCAACAAGGTTATCATCATCATAACTTGTATGTAGTTCAGAGGGTCATGCTTCTTCTGTTCTTCAAGTTGGTACTGATGATGTCGGAATATAATTTGCATTCGTGGTTTTAATGTACATATCCACCATATTATTATTTGATGATTGATGAAGTCCAACCATAACAGCAACATCGTCGTCGTCATCAAGCTGAACTTTTCCATATGTCATTGGATTTGAGGAGATCAGGTGCCGATAACTTAAACATGAAACAAAAGTGTTGAAAACATTTTGATATTTCGATATAACAAATTAAGTTAAATGAATTTTAAGATTTTCCAAATGATTTTCTAAGTATATTAGATATAACTATTCGAATATCAAAACATTACTCAAAATATTTCAAAAATCATTTTTAATCCTTACTCAAGTGTAAAATTAAGTTTTAATCTTAAAACAATCTCAAAATAATTTTACAAAGTATTTTGAACCATTTCAAAGCCAAAAATTCCAGATTGCTCAGAGGGAACCGATTCCCCCCCAAGGGGTACCGATTCCCCCCTTGTATAAGGGTCGAAATATTTGAATTTTATACTTAGGGAACCGATTCCCCATAGGGGGTACCGATTCCCCCCACACTCTAAGCTGTTTTATTAATTGTTTTCACACTAAAATGGCTATATGATCTTCACTAATCATCCCCAACATTCAGAAATGATTCAAGGTGTATTTAAACAAGTTCTGAAGCCTTTGATCGATAAGAAATCATAGAGAAACAAGAGAGAAAGCATCAAACACCAAGTTTGTGCAAATCAAGCCAATTTTCCTTTCAATATTCATTTTTCTTTCAAAGAACACCATTTGTGCTCATTTGTAATTATTTGTGAGTGTTCTTTTCTTGTTCTAGAATTGTGCAAACATCTTACCTTGTGAGGTTTTCCTTGTAAGTTTGCAAATTTGTAATCTCCTCTTTGGGAAAGAGTGTTCTCAAGAATTGGGGTATATTCTTGAGGGTGTTGTAAGGTTATCTCTTTGGCCTCAAAAGAAAGAACAAATTAGTGAATTTGTTGGAAA